TGGGCTGGTTCCTGCACCGCACCCAGCACTTCCTTTCCCCCACGCTGTGGCTGTGGGGCCGTGTTCCTGTGCAGCAGCTGGTCACACCCAGCTCTCAGGGCTCAGGGCAGAAGATGGCACAGCTGTTATCGAGGGTGGCTGGGCCTGGCCTGCCAGCACCTCACAGCAAATGCACTCACACGTTATCCATAGACAGAGCCAGGAGTGAGTCCTGGTGCTCCTGGCATGGGCCTGCTGCTGTTACTGGTGTCACATCCAGCTGTAGCTGTGCCACACCAGATTGGACAGAATAAAGCTTTTTAATTTTTAAAAGCTTGAAGAGGCAGAAATCCACCCCGTGGATTCCATGGAGGGAATGTTTCCCTGCCCTTGAGAGGTGGTTTTGCCCAGCTGTTTACAAACATCTGCCTGTGGTGGAAGGAATCCACTGCTGCCTTTTCCTTCTGCAATTCTGCAGCCCACACAGTTCTGTGATTCTGTGATAATTGGAAAGAACCTTCTCCTCTCCAGCCACCAGACCTTGCTGGGTACTCAGCCTCTCTGAGGGCACCAACCGCTGCTCATTATCAGCTCATGTTCAAACCTTATTGTTCACTTTTCTTGGACAATGTTTGCCAGCAAAGGATGGATTTTATAAATAAATCACACCAAATTAATCTTAAAACAATAATGAAAGCTTCTTGATTTAAAGACGCAAACTCAAGAGATTAATAGGAGCGGTGGAAAGTGTTTGGGTCCATTTCTAATTGGGGGCTGAACTTGACAAGAGGATTTCCAAACCCTAAATCCCAAAGATACCAGAAATGCTGTACTGTACAAACACAGAATGTCATTCACAGCAGGAGATTACCCTGTTACGTAAACCTGGCTTTGGGCACCAGGGCTGGGACGAGTTCAGCTGTGGTCAGAAATGCACCATTGCTGCTCGGGTGATTCTCCAACTTCGCTCTGCAAAACGCTCCCCGTGGATCCTGCCAGCCCTCGGAGTGACTGAGAGTTACCGAGAGAACACGGAATGTCTTGGGTTGGGAGGGACCTTAAAGCTCTCCCTGTTCCACCCCCTGCCTTGGCCAGGGATGGCTTCCACTACCCCAGGCTGCTCCAAGCCCTGTCCAGCCTTGCCCGGACACTTCCAGGGCTCCAGGGGCAGCCATGGCCCCTCTGAGCAGTGCTGGCTGTCCGGGGTGCGTGGCTGGGCGCAGGTGGACAGTGACACCACGCTGTATGCAGGGCCTGTGCCTGTTCCCCTGTGGGGGCTGCTCCCCAGAGGGCAAAGTGCCCCCACTGTGTCCCAGGGCACAGAGGTTCATCCATGGCAAGGTCAGCCATGGTGAGCTTCATCCACAATGAGCTCCATCCACAGTGAGCTCCATCCATGGTGAGCTCCATCCATGCTGAGCTCCATCCATGGTGAGGTTCATCCATGGCAAGATTCATCCATGGTGAGCTTCATCCCCAGTGAGCTCCATCCATGGCAAAGTTCATCCCTGGTGAGCTCCATCCCCAGTGAGCTCCATCCATGGCAAAGTTCATCCCTGGTGAGCTCCATCCCTGGTGAGCTCCATCCCTGGTGAGCTCCACCCATGGCAAAGTTCATCCCTGGTGAGCTCCATCCCTGGTGAGCTCCATCCATGGCAAAGTTCATTCCTGGTGAGCTCCATCCCCGGTGAGCTCCCAGCTCCGTCCCTGGCGAGGTTCCCCGGCACAAACCCGCTGGGGAATGTTAAGCGGGTTAGGTGGCAGGCTGGGGAAGGTGGTCACCCTCCGGGGATTAGGGGTCAGAACAATGGCTGTCCCTGTGGCCAGCGGGGACACAAAGAGCCATTGTGCCCAGAGCACAAACTCCTGCTTATTCCCGCGGGGCTGACATGCCCGCAGCCCCGCGCTCCGGGCCAGCACAAAAGCTTCCTTGCTTCAGATTGTTTGTTTATGTAAATTATAATAGTGTGTTTAATTATGCAACGGGCAGAGCCTCGGCGACGAGGGAGGTGCAGACTGGGCTGGCAAGCCTTGGCACAGCGGATGGTGCGGCCCGGGCTCGGCACAGGAGACGCGCCAGGGCCGCTCGCGCAGGGACCGGAGCCGGGGCGAAGGGGCCAGGAGGAGCTCCCCACCCCGGGGCAGCGGGCACGGCCCGGCCCGGCCTGGCACGGCCCTCAGCATGACAGAAGAAGTGCCCGCAGCTGCCACCATGCTGGCGTGCAACGGGAGCGTTGCCCCGCAGGATGGCCCGCTCCAGGTCATCGGCGGCCTCGAAGAAATTGCAAAATCTGTTGGGACAGTCCCATACACAAATGCAGAAATGAGCCCTGGCGCTTCACCTGCAAAGGAAAATCTGGAGGAAAATAGTAATTCATTGCCAGAGGACATCCCGCCTGAGAGTTTTGCTGGAGAGAAGCGATGCCAAGGTATTGTGTGGGGCTGCCTGTCTCTAGGTGTTGGGAGAGAAAAGTCCTGCTTTCTCTATAGCCTGGTGAATAATGGGATGTGCTGTGTGTTAGTCAAAATTCCTAATCTGTGGGACCTGTAATGGTGACTTGGAGTATTTCAGAATCTGGGACACATTAGAGGGATGCTATGAAAAGCTCATAACTAAAGAAAGGAGCAATTCTAAATCTGCTCTGAAAACCTGCGGATCTGCAGCCATTTAAACCCGACTGTCATCACTAATTGCTCCATCAGCCCATGTCTTGTGCTTTGTGTTTCCCAAAGAAAAGCGAGAGGAGAACGCTGGGACACCACAGCAGGGACCAGCGGATATCCAGGACACAGGGACCAATGGCCAGAGATCAGGGGAAGGTAAAGCAAAATCCATCTGATGTGGGGTGCCCTGATGTGTAGCAAAGAGACAGTGGATGCAGGTGGTTATTATTTTTTTAATTGGGTCAGAAACTTCTATTGGGTCAGGGAGCAGTGACTCCTTTATCACCTGTGAGTTGCTGCACCTTAGAAACCACAGCTGATATCTTCCTTCCAGGGTTTTACATATCTCATTGACCATGGGGTATTCAAGCATTGTGGGGTTTTCAGGCAGAAGGTCCCTAGCAGCCTTACAGGGTTGGGCCATTCTCTGCTCCATGCTCAGAGGAGAACCTTGTGAGGCTGCTGGCGGTCAGAAACCCCAAATCCTTTTCCTGCCTGATTCACCAAGTGATGAATCCCCTAATGTCCAATGATCCACATCAAATTGCTCTCCTACACACCTGTTCCTGGGTCTTGCTCTGCTCATTTCTGGGTGAAAATGGTGGAAATGAGTAGGAGCCAGGGCTGGAGCCTCAGCCACCTCCTGTGGTGAGTGGGGCTGCAGGGGGGTCACTGCCTGTCCTGGTCATGAGCTAAAAATGTACTGAGTGTATACAGAAACGAACATGCTTATTTACTGTGCAAACTGCAGCCACTTCTCCAAAAGGAGGAGTATTTTATGGCGTGTTACTGGAGGAGAACAGCCACGTCTGTCCGAGGGGGGCTCTGGGCATTGCTCCTTCCTCATCTCCCACCACAGGCTCCTCCCGTCTCGTTGGCTTTGGCAGGGATGGGACAGGGGAGCTGCAGGTGATGCTCTGCCCTGAGCTTTGAAGTGGGCTCTAAATGAGCCATGGGCTGTGCCCTGAAAGCAAAACCTGCTTCCGTTAACAAAGGGGAAAATATCCGAACATTTGTCATGGGCAAATTAATATTTCATAGCAACTGCCTAGGGTGCGAGGAGGTGAATAGTGGTGGAGGCTTTCCCACTTAGAGCTGACATCCATATTCCAGCTGTGCTGCTTTAGGAGCACATAATAAAACCTATTAAAGGATCTCTCATGGGCCCCCTGCACCCGCCCTGCAACCACAGCACTTTATCTCCAAATTGCAGGCAGCTTTTTAGTACCCAACCAATTTAGTCTAATTAATACTCTGGACCCTACAGGCAAAACCTTGAATAGACCATTTGTTTCGACACTAAAGCATCATTAACTGCAGAGACGTGCCAAACAGGGCAATTGGGAGATGGCCATTTCTATCAGGGGTGGCCACTGCTGAGAG